CCATGACCATGTTTTGTTTTTTTTTAAATATATTTTATTGATTTCAGAGAGGAAGTAAGAGGGAGGGATAGAAACATCAATGATGAGAGAGAATCATTGATGTGCTGCCTCCTGCACGCCCCACACTGGAGATCAAGCCCACAACCTGGGCATGTGTCCTGACTGGGAATTGAACCTCGACTGCATGGTTCACAGGTTGACACTCAACCACTGAGCAACGCTGGCAGGGCCATTTGACTAATCTTTATTAAATGATTCCCTGTACCCAGTGGGACTGCCTTCAGGGTGAGCAGCTTTGGGGGCTGGGTTTCTAAGGGGCTTGGGGACATCTGGGAGGCAGCTGGACGCAGGAGCCTAGAGCGCAGAAAGGGGTCCTCAGGGGAGGAGAGAGGAGCCGGCTCAGCCCTGATCTGCCGGCAGCACGACAGCACCCTGCTGGCCCTCCAGGGGGCCCTGGGCCTCTACGACGGGCACACCCCGCCCTACGCTGCCTGCCTGGGCTTCGAGTTCCGGAGGAGCCTGGGGGACCTCGATGATGATGATGATGACGAAGATGCAGGGTGAGGAGGGGTGGCGCCTGGGAACGGGCGGGCAGAGCTCCCAAGAGGAGGGATGGTGGCAGGCAGAGGGCCGCCCAGGCACCGGCCTGGAGGGGGAGTTGGCCAGGGAGGCCATCAGGAGGTTGACGGGTGGCCAGGAGCCCAGCTCCTCCATTCAGATGCTTGTCTAGATTTGAGGTCAGAGGCAGGGGAGGTGAGGAGCCTTGCTGCCACGCCTCCTCTCTCTGCAGGAACGTCACCATCTCCCTCTTCTACCGCAACGACTCCACTGGCCTGCCCCTGAGCCTCAGCCTCCCCGGGTGCCCAGCCCCCTGCCCACTAGGCCGCTTCCGCCAGCTGACCGCCCCGGCCCGGCCTCCAGCTCACGGGGTCCCCTGCCACGGCGCCCATGAGCCTGCCACTCCTACGGGTGAGGCCCTTGGTGTTGGGGTGGGAATAGGAGGGTTCAAGTCCTGAGACTCACCCCTCATGTTCTCCTTGCAGCCACCGTGGTGCCCCTGTTGGCTGGGGCTGTGGCCATGCTGGCGGCGCTCTGCGTAGGGCTGGGCCTGCTGGCCTGGAGACCCGGCTGCCTGCGGGCCTGGGGAGACCCTGTGTGAGCTGTGAAACTGGGCACCCCTTCCCCACTGCTGACCCTGGACCCCAACATGTGTGCTCACCCGCTGCACCAGCTTCCGTGACTTACTGTGTGCGCCTGTGCGTGGGGAGGGAGGTGGGGGAGAAACGGACACACAGGGCTCCAAGGCCTGGAAGTCACAAGTGGTTGTGTGCACATGCGTACATGGCTTGTGCACACATGTAGTTCATGTGTAGATATTTGAACATTTGCATGTGATGGCACATATCTGCACGTTTGACAGGCTCCTATGCACACGTGCAATCTGTATTGGTGTGTGTAGGTGCCTCTAGGGGTACTGATGCGTTTCTCTATATGCATGGTGGCATGTGGTGGTTATGTCGGGATGGTATTAGTAGGTACGACACATGTGGTGTGAGAAACAAGGCTGAGCTTTCTTAGACTCGATACCTAGGGGACAAGTGGCCCCTCCAGCCCCCTAAGCTCCTGGGTGGGATCAGGCCTGTCTTGTATCCGGAGAGCTAAGCCCGGCCCCAAGGCTGCTCAGTACCAAGCCTGAGGCTGTGTGATTTGGGAAACCACTGGCCTCTGTGCTCCCATCTCAGGGCGAGTCAAGACTCAGATGGTAGCACCTCTGAAATTAACCTCCCAGGACCAGCAGAGTAGGTGTGGCCGGACCGTTCTCAGGACTGCCATCTGGCCATTTGAATAAAATGTAAGATTCAGGTCCCAGCCACATCTCAATGGCTCACGGCCACACGTGGCTGGTGGGCCCAGTGGGTCTAGGACCCAGACAGCACTTACGCTCCTGCAGCCACTGCCCTCCCCACCAGCCAGGCATCAGGCTCAAGTGTGTGAACACCCCAGATCAGAACACTGGGGGCGGGGGTGTTGGTGTGTAGCAGGCAGCCACTCAGTGCCCACTACAAATGGCAGAGTTGGAGAATTGGAGGTGGGGTGGGGGGAGAGGTTGTGGGGCTAGAAGTCAATCCCAGCTACCAGGACCCTCCAATGGGGGAAAACAGGGTGCAGAGTCCCCTAGACTGAGAGGAGAAAGCCGGGTCTACCCAATTCCCAGCACGGTGGGCAAGGGACCATGCCCTGGGCTCTGAAGCTAGCCTTGTCACCCCATCACACCCATCGTCTTAGAACAGGCCTTAGAAGAGAGGCAGCCACACCCAGATGCCCTCTGTACTCAGTCCTGGGAGGGACACAGCTTCTTACTTCTCACCCAGGGAAGGGCCGAGTCAGGTTTCCCTGCCCGGCTGCTGGGGGCGGCTCCCAGGGCTTGACGGAGCATAGCTCTCTCAGTAGGGCCCATGGAGACAGGCGTGTCCAGAACCCTGCCCCATGAGGGTTCTGGAAATGGCTCTGCATGGGGGCCGAGTCAGGCACCACAGTTCATATGCAGCGATGCTCACTCCCTACCCCCAGTGGGATTCCTGCTCCCAACACTTAACCCAGACACTGGCCAGAAACCACACATGCAGCTAGAAACACTGGGACTGGCCTGGCAGTCCCTTCCCCAGGTGAGCAAATATCAGGCTGGCTTCAGAAGGGAAAGGCGTTACAAAATAGTCTTAAGAGAAAAACCAAGACAACAGAGAAGAGTGTGCTTAAAACCAAAGTGCTGTATATGCTTCAAGTATTAAGTAAAAACAATGCATTAACAAGTAACAAAAACAGGGCAAACTTCATGTTGTAGGCCATGGGGTCTCCCCGCTGGGCCTGTAGTGCTTTGGGGGCCTGAGGGGTGCCCACCCAACATGCTATTTCAGCTGAGATGTAAGAGGCCTGCTGCGTTCTCTACAGAACCACTGTGGCCAGCCAGTGACACCCATGAGGTAGCTACTTGGGGCAAGGACACCTTATTCTTCTGGGCTCCTCAAAACTAGGTGAGGGTGGCTTGCCCATAAAAAACTCAAGATCAGCCTTAGTCAGTTTGGCTTAGTGAATAGAGCCTGCGGACCGAAGGGTCCCTGGTTCGATTCTGATCAAGGGCACATGCCTGGCTTGCAGGCTGGATCTCCAGTAGGAGGCAACCAATCAATGATTCTCATCATCGATGTTTCTATCTCCATCAATATATATATTAAAAAAATACTCAACTCTTACACCTTAAAAACAAAACAGGTGGGCGGTCCCTCAAGGGACTCTGCATCTCCCTGCCCTGGAAACTAGGGCTCCTAGATAGGGCCCAGAGGCAGGTAAGGAGCCATGGGCTCCTACCCACAGGCCCTGATGGAGTAGCGGGGAGGCGGGGGGCTGCTCCTCCTCCAGCATGTAGGCTGGGAGGCTGCGGCTACGTGTGGCTTCCTTGACGTACAGGTCCAGGAGGACCTTGGTGGACTGCTTGTCCACCCTCTCCTTGAACACGTCACGGCTCAGGAGCCAGCTCAGGAGGTCCCTGAGCTGGTGTCTGCCCTGGACCTCCATCATCACCTCCAGCACTGTCATGCCCTTGACTGGCAGGCTGACCAGCGACAGCTGCATCTCGGAGGACCTGGCCAGCGCCAGCAGGCGCCCACGCAGGCCCTGTGTGAAGGGCATGTCCTCAGGTGTAGGCCATGGTGCCTGCTCAGATGCAGGCTCACGGTAGATCCACTCCAGCATGCTCAGCTGGCGGGCCAGCTGGATGCACTGCTCCATGGTGGTCCAGGACCTGAAGGGCATCTCGGTGACCTCGAAGTGCAGGAAGGATTGCCAGCGCTGGAGCCAGGCCTGCAGTGGCCAGGTGAGTAGCGCCTTGTGGCTGCCCCGCAGACCCTTGTAGAGGCAGTTGAAGATGGTGTTGCTGGTCAGGTCACCCAGCAGTGCCAGCTCCTGGGAATTCAGGGCCAGGGCCAAGCTGCCTTGGTCATATACCTGCAGGATCCAGGCGATCATGTGCTCGTTGGGCTTCTGCTTGAAGTGCTGTGCAATGGCCAGTAGTGGTGCGCCAGCCCCATCATGCTCTCGGCCATGGTCACAGCTGCCCTGGAGGGAAACAGCAGGAAGCCCAAGGGGTGCTACTAAAGGAGCTGCAGGCAGGGACAAAGGTGTGGGAAACAGTTACAGCCTGCAACACCTCCCTGGAGCTGGGGCCCCTCAGACCCTTGGGTGTCAAAGGTCCCAGGGGGCACAGTATCCTCATGAGAGGTCAAAACCCAGTGCTGGACATCATAGGGGCCCCAAGCACAGCCCAACACAGAATGTCTCTGCAGTGCCCCCAGCCCCTCCTTTATAAACCTCCCCTTACCCAATAGTATTACTGTGAAGATTCAACCAATTGAGAAGCAGGCCTGGCTCAGCTAACTGCTCAGCCTTTGCCTTGACCTTAGCATAACTCACACAATCCATGAATGAGGGAGCCTCTTCTGCTCTTACCTAGAGCAATGACCCTTCAACCCCTAGAGCAGTGGTTCTCAACCAGCCTAATGCCACGACCCTTTAATACAGTTCCTCATGTTGTGGTGACCCCCCACCATAAAATTATTTTCGTTACTACTTCATAACCGTAATTTTGCTACTGTTATGAATCGTAATGTAAATATCTGATATGCAGGGTGCATTTTCATTGTTACAAGTTAAACATAATTAAAGCATAGTGATTAATCATAAAAACAATATGTAATTATATATTGTGAAATATTTATTTCTAATTACAAGTAAATGAAATTTTGTCTTGAAGCACGGTGTAGCACATGTAACAGTCTTAACATAACAACAGTAAACTACATTACCACATTTTGCGACAGTATGTGTAAAAAGCCAACATCAGTGCGAAGGTTGAGATTGCTCCTTTCTCACCAGATCAGAAATTCTTGGGGCAGTCTTTGCAAGAGCACAACGAAGAACATCTTCCACAACAAGTCTACTTCTGTATTTAGACTTGATAACCAACAAGCTGGAAAATCCTGTTTCACAAAGATATGTTGTTGGAAATGGAAGAAGAAGGCGCAACACAGTCTCAGACAGAACAGGATATGACTGCAAACACTTGGTCCAGAATTTTGTAACTGGCATTGTAGAGAAATCAGTTCTTGCTGCATCGTTGTTAATAAGTTCAATGAACTCCTCTTGTGCTGTCTCAGGAACATCTTCAACTTTGACTGTGAATGGGCTTCTGGCAAGTGCAAATGGGGTGTTAGGTAGATTTGGAAAGTACAATGAAATTTCGTCTGCAAGCATGTGCAAGTGTTCTTTCACAGAAATTATCATCGTAGTCCTTTTGTCTAGTTCAATGTCATGTTCCTCAAAGAAAGCAGATAAGGTAGGCAACATGTAAATGTTATTTTTATCCAATTTTTTTTGCCAAAGCTGAAGTTTCATTTGGAATGATCGGATCTTTTCAGACAAATCGAGGCATGTTGCATTTGGTCCTTGCAACGATAAATTTAACTCATTCAAGATGGCAAAGATGTCCACCAAGTAAGCTATTTTCTGCAGTTCACTTTTATTGCCGAAAAGTGCTTCGAACTGTGGTCTTGCTTTCTGATTAAAAAATGTTTTGAGTTCATCACGAAGCTCAAAAACACGTTTTAAAATTTTTCCTCTTGACAACCATCTCACTTCAGTGTGAAATAGCAGAGCATTGTTTGGCGCATCCAACTCGTTGCACAGTTGCGAAAACAGTGGACTGTTTAAAGTGCTAGCCTTTACAAAATTGACACAACTTATTACACTTTCCATTACTTCTTGTAACTCTTGTGGCAGCGTCTTCGTTGCTAATATTTGCCAATGAATCATACAGTGAGTTCCGATGACTTTTGGTGACTCATTCAGTACCAAACGTTGAAATCCAGATCGACATCCTAGCATAGCTGGAGCACCATCTGTGCAAACACCACAAACCATTTCCCAAGAGATCTTATGCTCTTTCAGAAATGAATCAACTGTGTCAAATACATCACGTGCAGTAGTTGTTGTTTCAAGAGGTTTGCAAAAAAGAAACTCATCTTTAAAGTCACCATCATTAATATACCTCACGTAAACCAGTAACTGTGAACAGTTTGCAACGTCTGTAGATTCATCAAGCTGGATACTAAATATTGGAAGTGGAGCAGATTTAATTTCCTGGATTACCTGATCAAGAATATCAGCAGACATGTCATCTATTCTTCTGCGGACAGTGTCGTTAGATAAGGAAACTGCACTCAATTTTGTAACAAATTCATCTCCAATCATAACTCGAACAATGTCTTTGGCTGCTGGCAATAGTAAATCCTCAGCAATGGTGTGAGGTTTCATAGCTCTGGCGATTCTGAGTGCCACCAAATATGAAGCTTCAACGGCTGCTACGTTTTGTTTGTGGCACTTGCCAACAGTGTCAAGTCTGGCTTTCTTGAGTCCATCAGCTTTGCTTCTAAAATAGTTGGTATCCTTGCCGACAAAGCTTAGATGCTTGCTATCAAAATGGCGTTTTAGTTTGTTCAGCTCCATAGATTCGGCTGATAGAACTTTACAACAAATAACACATTGCGGTTTCTCAATTCCTGCTGTAATTATTGAGGTAAAACCATACTGTAAAAAATCCTCACTATATTTTCTTTTCTTAATGTTCTTCTCTACACGATCCATTGTCATGGGATGGTTTGCTAATGAAAATAATATATAACAATAGCTTTAATAATACAAAAGATGATACATGGCATAGTTCAGTCAATATAGTTCATTAAAGTATCCTATAATTTACCATTCTGTTTTTTTTTTACATACCTGTTATTATCACAAGGGGGCAGTATTCATAGCAACCACAGCTGAATATAAAAAGACCCATCAGCATCCAGATTAAGTTTCCATGAAACAGATATTTTTGTTTGCAGAACTTGATTTTACAGTACATGATTTTACATTAACCCAATAATTATAATTCATGAAGTGTCGTTTTACCTCCAATACTACTGCTTTCAACACAACAACTGCTTTCTACACAGTACCTGCTCTCTACACGTGTGACTGGTCCGCGTAAGTACATTATGGCGCCAACCCTGTCACATACACCTGTATTTGTACGGGGTGTATGTGATGGGGTTGGCGCGATGATGTCATCACTCCGGGTACTCGTATGTGGGCGTATCTGAATGTCGGCATATCTGCATGTGGGCGGACCCACCTGGAGACGGATAGAGGAGCAGTGTCTCAGTTCCTAAGATCATCGAAAATATGTGTTTTCCGATGGTCTTAGGCGACCCCTGTGAAAGGGTGTTTCAACCCCCAAAGGGGTCACAACCCACAGGTTGAGAACTGCTGCCCTAGAGCAGGGGTGGGCAACCTTTTTGTGAGTGCATGCCAAAACCAGCAAAATCTCTGACTCAAAATTCTTCTGCGTGCCAACCCTAATTTTTTGAGAACATGTTACGCCCACTTGATATCTCTTAAGGTGTACGTATGTGAAGAACCTTGAAGAAATAGTAAAAGTCATTCGAGCGACAAAAACACAGTATATGATGATGAAAAATACATTTATTTTTTAATGTATACATGTACACTGCTAGTCCGACAGAAAACTTTATGACTCCGTTTGATATTATCAGTGGGACTTTTGCTGCTGCATCACTGATGACAGAGATTTTACATCAGGTTTATATTTCGTGACCTTCAGAGATATGCACGAGCTACTACTTTCATCCGTCAGGCTACTCCTATTACGAGACTTAACAAAATTCATCACTGAGAACAAAGATTCACAAGCGTATGTGGATGAAAACATGGAGAGTAACGCTGTCGCCAAGTTTTTTAAACAGAAAAAATTTTCTGGAATGGCATTCCAAGTCCTCAATAGTTCATTTTCGACACTTCTCTCTGGTACTCCTGTCTCTAATCGATTTTTTTCAATGTTTTCCAAGTCAACTCTAAGGTCAATAAACTTCTGCTTCCAAATTGAGCTACTCTGAAATTCAATCAACTGCATTTCAAAGTCAGCCATGTCTATCCGTGAAAACATTTGTAAGTTTAGTTCCTCCAGTTTCATGCTGTCTGGAAACCTCATGAATTTTGCTGTCTCTTCCAGCTCTCTGAATTTCGCAAATCTTGAGAAGAACTGCTCAATAGTTGACTCGATGATGTTTAAAAACAGCTTTTGAAGGCTTTGACAGTCTGTTCTGTCATCTTTTGGGAGGTCTTTGATGTGCCTCTTGAGGTTTGGGAAATATCTAAATCTCTCACCATTCACATCCCTCTTAAAGACTTCCAGTTTCTTTTCAAAAGCCTTTATGTAACCACATATAACATCAAGTGTCTTGCCAGTTCCTTGTAATTTAACATTTAAGTCATTCAAATGTTCACAAAAATCTGCAAAGAACATCAGTTTAGAAACCCACGTGGCGTCAGACAATTCTTGGTAAGAAACATGTTGGTTATTCAAGAAGAGCGTTATCTCGTTTAAGCATTCAACGAATCGTTTCAGAACCAAACCTCGGCTAAGCCATCGAATGTTGTTGTACATTTTCAGTCCTTTATACACAGATTCTACCTCATTCAGTAAAACTTGAAATTGTCTTTTATTTAAAGCCCGAGCAGAAATGTAATTAACAACTTTGGTAACTGTTTGCATCACTTCCTGCAGTTCCTTCAGGCCAGCTTTTGCACATAAAGCCTCCTCATGTATGATGCAATGAAAACCTACCAGTGTATGACCAACTTCTTTCGCAAACAGATTTACAAAACCTGCCTTCTCATCAGTCATGCAAGGAGCACCATCAGTGGTGACGGACACTATTTTTGAAATGTCAATTTGTCGGGAAGAGAATTCGTTTGTAACTGCTTTACATATTTCAGCCCCAGTAGTACGCTCAGGTAGAGTTAGAAGGGCAACCATCTCTTCACATATTTCATCACCTTTACAAAGTCGAGAAAAAATGGCTAGCCTAGATGATGATGTAATGTCTATACTTTCATCAATACAAATAGAAAAAAATTGACATGAAGACAAATCTTTTGTTAATTGTTCAGCAGTATTACTCGCCAACTTAAGTATCCTATCCTTAACTGTTTTCCTGCTCACGGACAAATCTTTAATGCGCTGAATAATCTTTTCTTTTTCTGAGAAATCGTCAAAAAGGAAAGGTGCACATTCTAGCCAAGCTTCTTTAATATACTCTCCATCACTGAGTGGTTTTCCATGTTGGGCAATGACTTTTGAAACTTCAAAACTAGCAGCAACTAAATTGAAACTGGACCTGCCTGAGATGAAGTTCATAAAATTATCAGGCTGTTTTTTTGTTTTGCAGAGTTCACGAGAAATTAATTCTCTTTGTTCCTCTTCGGTTTTACTGCTTATGTTCTTATGAACACTTACAAAATGCCTTGTTACAGAAGATGTTCTGCAAACAACAGTTTCAGAACAGAAAACACATAAGGCTTTGTTGTCTTTCTTAATCACACCAAACTTTTCTGTCCAGTATTTTTGAAATTCTCTAACATCCTTTTCAGCTGAACTACATTGTTTCTTAGCTGGTGGTCCTGACATTCTACACAATCTAGAAGGACAGAAAAAATACATGAGATGATGGTATACGTGAAAAAGGTGAAAGAAGAAAAATAAAATGTCAGTAAGTGATTAATTAGCTTGATCAAACTACTGTACTGCTATAACTTTTTAAAATTAACCCCTAGAGTGCCGGGGATCGTGATCGCCCTCCTCCTGCAGTGTCACTATTAGATGCTAGTAGTTCATTCTTTATTGACAGATGGCACCTAAGTGCAGATTACTTATGATGCCGAATGTCTGTAGTTCTAAAATTCACCACTGGCACTTATCTGCCTAATTTTTTACAGGTACTACAATTTTATGAAATTTTTTTTCCTCAAAACTGATGTAAAATCAGCAAAAATGCCTTGGCAATTTTAGCATAGTTCCTAGGATATTGGTTGGCACTCAAAGGGTTAAAGTAAATAGAAAGAAAAATACTTTGCTATCCCTACAAAATGGGAAGATGGGCGCCATGCAGGGAACAGTAAAGATAAAGCATGTAAAAAAATCACAAAATGTAGAACCTTTATTTATAAATCATAATACATTGTATGCATATCAGTTGTTATTTTTATTTATAAGATTTGGTTTATGGGTAACAACAAAAATGTGACAAAATATTTCCTAAGGAAAATAACAGAATAAAGAAAACATAGACAAATACAGCATAATGTAATAGAAGTACGGTAATTATGTAACTTACTTTTCAGCACAGACGGATACGGTGTGATGATGACGTCACCAGGTTACTGCTGTAGCGCGCACCAAAGAGAAACATAGAAATTTATTCCCCTCTCGTTAGTACCAGTGGGCAAAGGAGAGAGGAGGATTCATTTTTATAGAGTGAAATTTTGAATAAGTAGGTGAGGCGGTTGTCTTGTCAACGAAAACCCACTGCGTCTGAGGCTGAAACCAAAACACTGGTCGGATCTAGGAAGGCAGAGGCATAGAAATTGCTCTTCCCCTCTCTTGTCAATCCATGTCTATGGTCTTTAAGATAACTTGTTATGTAAAAGTATTTATTTATCTAAGATGCACCTACACTGAATTTATCTGAAAAATAAAAAAATCGATACAGTGGGGCCTTGACTTACAAGTTTAATTCCTTCCGAGACTGAGCTCGCTAACTCAAATTACTCTATCAACTCAATGCAAAAAATTGGCCGAGAGACAGCTGGTATCTCAAAAAACTCGTTAGTTGGGACACTCGTAAGTCAAGGCCTCACTGTATTAAGAAAAAAATTGTAAATGGAAGATTATAAGAGAGGGTTTTGCGTGCCAGCAAGTTACTGGCTTGCCATGTTTGGCATGCGTGCCAGGGGTTGCCCACCCCTGCCCTAGAGGAAACACCTGCAGGAAGGAGTGGGGGAGCGGAGGTCAGTGGGGCACAGGGCAACCATGGTCCCCCATCCACACCTCCCAAGAGCCAGGGCCCCTCAGACCCCCAGGTGTCAAAGGTCCTGGGGGGGCACCGTGTCTTCAAGTGAAGTCAGAGCCCAGTGCTAAACATCATAGGGGCCCAAAGCACCCCCATCAGTGTGTTTCTAATCTAATCCCAAGTGCTCCTACATCAGGGGTGGGCAACCCCTGGCATGCACGCCAAACATAGCACGCCAATAACTTTTGCTGGCACTCGAAACCCTCTCTTATAATCATCTTCCATTTATAATTTTTGTGAATATTTGAATGACTTAAATGTTAAATTACAAGGAACTGGCAAGACACTTGATGTTATATGTGGTTACATAAAGGCTTTTGAAAAGAAACTGGAAGTCTTTAAGAGGGATGTGAATGGTGAGAGATTTAGATATTTCCCAAACCTCAAGAGGCACATCAAAGACCTCCCAAAAGATGACAGAACAGACTGTCAGAGCCTTCAAAAGCTGTTTTTAAACATCATCGAGTCAACTATTGAGCAGTTCTTCTCAAGATTTGCGAAATTCAGAGAGCTGGAAGAGACAGCAAAATTCATGAGGTTTCCAGACAGCATGAAACTGGAGGAACTAAACTTACAAATGTTTTCATGGATAGACATGGCTGACTTTGAAATGCAGTTGATTGAATTTCAGAGTAGCTCAATTTGGAAGCAGAAGTTTATTGACCTTAGATTTGACTTGGAAAACATTGAAAAAAATCTATTAGAGACAGGAGTACCAGAGAGAAGTGTCGAAAATGAACTATTGAGGACTTGGAATGCCATTCCAGAAAATTTTTTCTGTTTAAAAAACTTGGCGACAGCGTTACTCTCCATGTTTTCATCCACATACGCTTGTGAATCTTTGTTCTCAGTGATGAATTTTGTTAAGTCTCGTAATAGGAGTAGCCTGACGGATGAAAGTAGTAAGTAGCTCGTGCATATCTCTGAAGGTCACGAAATATAAACCTGATGTAAACTCTGTCATCAGTGATGCAGCAGCAAAAGTCCCACTGATAATATCAAACAGGGTCATAAAGTTTTCTGTCGGACTAGCAGTGTACATGTATACATTAAAAAATAAATGTATTTTTCATCATCATATACTGTGTTTTTGTCGCTTGAAGACTTTTACTATTTCTTCAGGGTTCTTTACATACGTACACCTTAAGAGATATCAAGTGGGCGTAACATGTTCTCAAAAAATTAGGGTTGGCACGCAGAAGAATTTTGAGTCAGAGATTTTGCTGGTTTTGGCATGCACTCACAAAAAGATTGCTCACCCCTGTCCTACATCTACCTCCTTACACATCCCTACCCATCCCATCTCTGCACAGTGGCAGTCACTGCCGGAAGCCGGTCCATCCTTGCTGCTTGACACAGTTGCTGCAGGGAAGAAACATCTGCACAGCATATGTTTCAAGGGACCCCGAGTATATGGCATACTGTTCTTAATATGTTTGCTCCCCTTCTTGGCGCTATGTGTTTTAACCAAGGTCACCTCTCTGAGAAAGGTTGTTTCCCCAGGTAGGGATTTTCCCCTGAAGTTAGGAGGGAATAAAACCGCTTAACTAAGTGCCAGGTGGGTAGTTAATCACTTTAACTACGAACAATCACGGTTGAGCTATATAATCTTTACTCCCTGGAATGGAGATAAGAAACCCCTAACCTTTGGATAGAAATTGATAGGATTAAAATCAACTGGTATAAATACAGATGTAACAAGACAATAAAAGACAGAACTTGGCTGGAGAACCTGGCTATGCTGATCAACTGAAGGCTGCCTCCATGTCATTCCTTCTTCCCCCGACTCCGTCCACACCTTTGGGAACCCCTGGACCTGCTGGGGCTGGACCCCAATAGTCACATGATTCAGGGGTGGATTGGCAGTTTTGGGGGCTGCTCCCTGGCGACTCTGCTGTAAGTCCAGGCCACAGCACCCACACAGGAACCTCCACTGTGGCCAAGCAGGCAAGTCACAGATGACCCCTCAGGTCAAAGTGGCATTAGTGGGGATCAAAACCAAGCTCTTTAGCCCTATCCGGTTTGGCTAAGTGGTTAGAGCCGCCGTGGGCAAACTAGGGCCCGCTTGAAATGACTAAAACTAAAAAAAAAAGAAGACCGTACCCTTTTATGTACTGATGTTTATTTTGAATTTATATTAGTTCACACAAACACTCCATCCATGCTTTTGTTCCGGCCCTCCGGTCCAGTTTAAGAACCCACTGTGGCCCTCGAGTCAAAAAGTTTGCCCACCCCTGGGTTAGATTGTTGGCACATGGACTGAAGAGTCCTGGATTTGACTCTGGTCGAGGGCATGTACCTTGGTTGCAAGCTCAATCCCCAGTCCTGGTCAGGATGCACATGAGAGGCAACGTATTGATGTGTCTCTCCCTCTACCTTACACTCTCTCTCTAAAAAAAAAAAAAAAAAAAAATCAATGGAAAAATACCCTTAGGTGAGGATTAACAACAGCAAAAGCCAACCTCCTTGGTTCTGCCGCCTTAGCTGCAGGGAAGAGGGAAACAGAGAGCACCCCCCATCACCCTGCAGCACCCCAATGTGCATGGAGGTTGCAGAAATAAGGCCCTTTCCCCTTTTCAAAAAGGAGAGCGGCATGGGAAAATCAGTGTCTCTGTACATGCAGGTCCTCAGCTGTGGAACAGGAACAAGCACCCAGCTCACTGGGCTCCTGAGGTCTGAAGGAACAAGTGCAGAGCACTGTGCAGGCTCAGAGTGGGTGCTCAGCACCTCTCATTATACCAACATCACCACAATTTAGGTCTTTTTAACTAAAAATTTGTAACATTAGAACCTTAACATGATTATGGAGTTAATAAGATACTTCTGTTCTTACCAAGAAGGATGAGGGGGCTGTTGACTCCTGGAGGAACCACCTGCAGAAAGGAGTAGGGAGGAAAAGCAGTTAGCGGGTGCAGGGCAACCATGGTCCCCCATCCATCCCTCCCCAGAGTCAGGGTCCCTCAGACCCCTGGGTGTCAAAGATCCCAGGGGGCACCATGTCCTCAGGGGAGGTCAGAGCCCAGTGCTGGACATCATGGGGACCCTAGTCGCCCTCTTCACCCAGGTCCCAGAGCCACATGCCTACAGTCCTAAGGGGACAACACAGACAAGAACTCAAAATTCCAGACAGGAAAAACGACTAATACATGGCCCTGAGCTGCAACAAGGGAACCCCCATCGCCTGCCTTCTGACACTCTATCTCCTCATTGCCACCTCAGTGGCTTATCCCTGGGTGTCACTACTTGTATGACCTGCAGCAACTGACCTAAGCCCCACTGTTGAAAATGGGGATAGATTTGCCTTGTAGACAGGTTGTTGGCAGAATCCACTGAGATGAAGGAGGCCCTTGACTCAGCTCCAAGGTGGATCTGATGAGCACATCCCTGCACGTACTCTGCCCACACCTCAGGCCTCCTTTCACACCCAGCTCCCCAAAGCCTCCAGCTCTGGGCCAGTCCTGCATCGCCATTCCTTGCTTCTTAACCTGGGGAAACAGCTATACCAGAATCTTCTGAATCAGAGAAGTTAAATGCCTGCCATCAGGATCTGGATCTGGTGAGTTCTCAAAAGTACTGAAACAGGGCAAGCACTCCCTATTGTGAGCCACTCTTTAGCAAGCAGAAACTCTTAAATCTGAGTTTTGTGAAGAAATATGCTGTCCACTTGTATGCATATATGCATGGCCCATGAACACAATGGGGTGGTGAGGATTTGGGGGGACGGACAGACAAGGGACAGGCTGGATAGGATCAATGGGGGAAAAAAGGGAACAGGCGTACTGGTTAATAATGCAGATTTTGTAATCAAAACATGGCAATTTCAACAGAAACATCAGGCAAGATCTTTTAACGTGTCTTTAACTGGTTTTGAAGTGTGTAATGGTGGGTCATCATGAAGCAAAATTACTTTGCCGTATGTTCTGGCCCATTTTGGTCGTTTTATGATCAAAGCGTGGTTCAAATTGATTATTTGCTGTCGGCAGCGATCAGTATTAAGCTTCACCTGATTTTAGAAGCTCATAATACACCACACCTTCCTGATCCCACCAAATGCAGAGCATTGTCTTCTTTCCAAAGCAATTTGGCCTTGCATCGATGCTGATGGTTGACCTGAATCAACCCATGATTTTGTACAAAATAAATCCACTTTTCACTGCCGGTCACAATTCAATGCAAAAAAGACTTTCTTTCTTGCCGCTGAAGCAGCATTTTACTGATGACTTTTCTGTTTTCCATTTGTCTTTCGTTCAGTTAATGTGGGACCCATTTTCCTTCCTTTAAAAGCTTTCTCATTGTTTGTAAACAATCGGAAATTGTTTGCTGAGCAACATCTAATCTTTCTCCAAGTTGTTTTTGAGTTTGACACGCATCTTCATCCCACTAAGGCTTGTAATTGTTGGTCTTCAAACTTTTTTGGTTGACCTGGGT